ATCTTATTTGCAAGTTTGTATTGTTTGAATTTGGATACATTGATGTCTGTGTAGTTTCATTTCATGGACTTGTCGTCGTTTTTAGCTAACTTGTATGGAGACTTGGTTATTGTTCATAGACCAAATAGACACTTGATATGCCTTAATTGTTTTTTTTTTTTTTGGCTATGATTGCAGATGTGACTCCGATGATCTTTGAAGTTCCGCCATCCTCAAAGTCATGTCCAAAGGCTATTATCCTTGTTTGTACATTTCTTACCTATTACTTGCGTTTATGACTCTGTTTTCCAAACTATATTTGATTATTTTACATTGAGGGATTGTTGGATGTGTTTTGTGTACTTGGTTATAAATGGGTTAGGTTTTTCGGTGCCAGCCAGCATAATGAATTTTCAGATGATTCCACCTTAGTTTACTTTTTGCATTAGAAACACAGACTTATTAATGATAATAAAAAAGACCAACTTATTTGATTATCATTACTAGCGCTAGTTTCATGTGTGAGTGCTTGGTTGTTTATCAGCTTCCTCCCCACACTCTTGTATCTGTTTATTTCTACAATAGTCTTTTGCCAACATATTTTGACTATTCGCATGTATACCTTGGTTCCTTTATGAAACTTACTGGCATCCAAAATTTCCTGTTACTTCTATCTGTAGGTGGCAAGTGCAGGATATGGGTTAGATCTCATGGTAGCAATTGATATTTTGAGAACAATAAGATCTGCAAATGGATTTGTAGTCACTATTATTATGAAGCCTTTCAGCTTTGAAGGACAGAGGCGCCAAGTTGAGGTATTGTTTCTTTGGCTGGAACTTTGATTACACCTGTTGACGTGAATATCATATATGCAGCATTGTTCATTAATTGAAACATTTTGCTATGCATCTTATGGGAAAAATTTTAAACTAAAAAATTTATAGAACTTGGAAGTAGTAATGGAGCCAGGGTGAATTCGTCCTAATTTTCTCTCTTGAGAATCTTGTACATCTAGACAGAAAGAGAAATGACAGTTATGTAATGATTTGTTGATAGTATCAGAGACCAAATCCATCTTATTTTGGCCCCATGTAACCATTTTAAAAACTTTTATCAAAGCCTCTCTAAAACATAATATCCTCGTGCAAGCATCCGTTGATGTCTTTATAGCTCGTTTAATTCTTCTGTTTCAACTTTTTGTTGCAACATCCATTCACTTGAGAGGTATAATATTCGCTGGACTTTTCTAAACTTATTTCTGAACTCAGTGTTCCATGATTTGGCCCTTCCTGATTGAGTCCATGCTTGAATATTGACACTTCCAATCTAATTTTCAGGCCAAAGATCTAACTGAAAAACTTCAGTCTCATACGGATTTGTTTATTGGTGAGTTTGTTATATTATCTGTTAGATGAAGCTTTGAAGTCCCACTTATTTTGAGCAGTTGCACATTTTGTTGTTTCTTTTTACATGCAGGTCTTGACGCTGACATGTTACTCAAAAAGGACCTGGTAACTTTAGATGAAGCTGTCAAGACTGCAAATAGTGCTGTTTTAATGTCAATAACTGCTGTATCTGTTCTAACAACTGTAAGTTTCCTTCTATCATATTTGTGTTTATCTAAGTTAAGAGTACCTTGGTTGTGACTTGGTTATTGCTGTGTACATATAGGATATACACAGAAAACTTATTGATGCATCCCATTATGATGCGAAAGAGATCAAAGCCTCGGAAGTGATTAAAGTAAGTGTTCACAAGTCATACAATACACCTTTGTGCAAGTTATGATGAACTTTATTAGATCATTTATTTATTTATATATATTTTGCTTATTTTTGCAACTCTGTGCAGATTTTGGAAGTATACAAAGAAGCAAACATTGGATTCGGTGCTGGCTACAATATCAAAACTTCAATACTACGATCTATGTATGACTGCCCTTTCCTTAGTATGGGTGTAAAGGTATGACCAAATTGCACTAAATGCACGAATTGATTATGTTCCTATTGGTCAATTGTGTCAATATTCTGTTTCTCATTGATTTTTTGCTGTTTCTCAGTCCTTTTTAACTTTATGTTGTTCTCAACTGGGTGTACATAACCTGCAATTTATTTGTTACGGTTATAATTTTATACCAATTTTCTATTCTTTGCGACCATTCTGATTTTTCGGTTGTTTCCATTTTTTTCCCCTCTGATGCATAGGACTTGGATGGTATGATTATATGCATCATTGCAAGTTCGAGCACTATCGAGAACAGTGATGTGCATGCAATTTTGCATACGTTTCGTCAAACTACAGAATATGAAGGGGAAATCTTAGTTTCTACAGTTCATGAACCTAGTCTAGAGCCCAACTTGGTAGTCACAACGGTTCTATTTGTAGGGTAATGTTTTTCTTTTATGCCTCATGTTAATTATTTAACAGTAGTATTTGCTACTTACTTTCTGACTATTTATCAAATTTTGATTTGTTGATGCATGATGCATCTCTTGTCTAGTGTTCTAATGTACATTTTATGTGATCACCAGTTTTACCAGAAAACAAGCTTCTCAGAAAAGTGGCATATTTTTGGGACTGGCCCAGCATTTTCCTTTCATTTTCAATCTTTTCAATAGGCACCAGTGGCTACTAAATGACACTCGGGAAAACCTACCTCTTGATAGTGCAGATTCACCAGATTCTAGTGAGATGGGAAATAGAAAGGCTGTTGTTATAGCTGAAGGTTTTGATAAGTACTCTGAAGGACCCGAGGACGTAACAAACAGCAACTACGATGAGTTCCACCTTTCAAGGTTAAATTGGTTTCCCTATTTTAATTTAGTTCTCCTAAAGATTTGTCTGACATGCAGATTCTTTTAAACTGATTTATTTTATTTGTGGATTTTTAATAGTGGGTTGGAACAAAATGAAGATGGAAATTATGAGGCCACTGCTGAATCGTCTAGTTTATACGATCCCATCACTGAAGGTACTACTATTTCGTATAATCTCCTTGAAATGTGAATTTACTTGTTTCCAGTTTGATGGAGTAGTCATTCCTTGGTGTCCTAATAATTGTTAAAAGGACGCGGCAGCACTTTTATTTCTTGTAGTCTTCATTCGACTAATCATGGTTAAAAAATTTCTTTGCCAAGAAACTCCAGCCTTCCAAAGACAGCCACTTGTTAGTTGGAACTTAGGACCAGGATCTCAGCTTGCAGAGGATTGGGTAAAAGAGAGGGCAGCTGAAGATGGAGCTACTGTGATGCTAGATAACCTGAGCATCTTCCGCCTTCCAGTTGGTGTAAAGCCTCCAGAGGAGCTGAAAGATGGTGTCAATGCCTCTTTTCCACCACAAGATCCAAAGACAAAATCCGAGGATGGTGTGAAAGCACAACCAGCTGTCAATCTAAGTATGTCTTCAAGGAATTCATTTACTGACACAGGGCTCGGAGCAGTCAGGGAATTGTACAACACAGCATCAACACTCGTAAAAGGAAAAGATGCTGATAATCCTAAAAAACAAAGAAATCTCTCTGCTCGTGCAGCATCTATGCTGGTAATGAGCTGGTTTTAAATACATACTTTTCTGTTAAAGAGTTGAAAGTTACTATATTAGTTGACTGGTTCTTATACTTGAACTTGAGGATTTAGTTTGGTTACATATTCTTCGAACAGGAAGCAGAACGAGATTCACCAAAAAAGTGGAGTCCTACGGTGGAGATGCCATACAGAGGAGGAATCTACGAAGGACGGTGCCAAGGAGGTCTTCCTGAAGGAAAGGTATTGTTCCACAAAATCATAAAAGCTGAAAATCTAAGTTCTTGAGGTGTCATGATTTGATCTGTACAAAACAGAATTAAATGCTAATCCTAAGAAAAATTCTACAGGGTCGTCTGCTTCTTGGGGACGGAAGCACATACGATGGCATGTGGCGATATGGAAAAAGATCAGGTCTTGGTACATTCTACTTCAGCAACGGGGATGTGTTCCAGGGATCATGGAGGGACGATGCCATGCATGGCAAGGTAAATTTCTTCATGTGAAAGTGTATCAATAGGTATATCTCTTTCATTTGATATCATTTTGTAATGTGCTGTTTCTATGGTCATGTATAGGGTTGGTTGTATTTTCACACCGGAGACCGATGGTTTGCAAACTTCTGGAAAGGGAAAGCCAATGGCGAAGGTCGCTTCTATTCAAAGTCCGGTGATGTCTTTTTTGGCCAGTTCCAAGATGGTTGGCGACATGGCCACTTCATCTGCATTGATGTTGACGGGACAAGGTTCGTGTAACATATTTTTCCCCCTCTTCGACTAAATATAGGGCTCCCCTCGAAAACAAGGTTTGTTGAGCCTCACAAGCCGTGCCCAAGCAATCCAGCCGGAGCTTGAGATTGTTGGGGCTCGGCTCATGAGACTCACGAGCCAGTCTGTTTAGATGTCGTATGAATAATCTGTGACCTCCATGTGTGCAGGTGTACTGAAAATTGGGATCGAGGTGTTCTTGTAAGCCGTGAATTGGAATCTGTTAATGGTGATGGATAAAGAATCTACTTGTAATTATTTTGTAAATTATTTTTTGGTTTTTTTATTTACATTTCATTTCAAATTTTTGTGTAATTGTTTAGTATACAGTTACAGTTTTCAAAAGATATAAACTAAGGAGGCAATGTGACTCCAAAACGATTATACATTGTTTAATTAAGCTCTCAGTTTAGAAGTGCCTTTAGTATGATTCAAATCGCTTTTAGTGAAATTGTTTTTGAGCTCCAGAAACACTTCCAAGTGGATTTTGAAGGAAATACCTGTTATGTTCTTTTTGCAGAAAACACTTGAAGTACCTTCAATTGGATTTTTATTGAGATTTAATTCTAAAACACTCACGAAAAGCATTTTCAATCATTTCAAAATTATTGCCGAACCGAACTAGTTCTTAATTAAATTTTTCTATCGCGTGGTCTTGTGGTATTGAAACTTAAAATAGCCTTTAATGGAAGCATTTTGCAAATTAAAATTTGAAAGAAAAAAAAGCTGACGTCGAAAAGAGGCAGAAACTTCACCAAAAATAAGCTACCAGTCGGATAACAATGCTAAACCTAAACCTCTGAAATTGTTTACTACAAAAAAATGGTCTAAGAATTTCCCTACAAGAATTTTCACACCCACAGTATATGTGTGGTTTAAGATCACCTCTTCCCTCGGGAGCCTCGGGTCCTTCGAACCCGCCCTCTGCACCACTTCCACAATTTTCTGTCATTCAAGAAGGCTTCAAAACTCATATAGAGCTCCATCATTCTTGTGAACCATGTTGAGCATCGCTCTCCGGTGCATCAGAGCGACGGAGAGAGTCAAGGCTGGAAAGAACATTCACAAAATTAAGAATTATACGAGAATATGATGGAAAAGGAATGAATAAGGTACATGTAAATGTAGATGCCTGCTACCATCTTAGGCAACAATAACTTCACATTTAAAAAAATCAGGACAACCAAAATTTCTATGTGCTTGTCTTACCTGCAGTTCTGCGGAACGCCCCATGGTAACATCAAATCTCTCTTCAAATTAGGCGGCAAGGACACAAATCGCTTCCAATTCCGAACCATGATTCTAAGGTCGTGAAGCTTGCTATCTAGACCATAACAACAATTTGCATGCATTGTACAAACTTGATTCAAATCTTTACTAGGTTCACAAAATCCACCAAAGTAAGCCGTATCCAAAAATTTTATTTTCAGTCCGATACTAAAGGTGGTTGGATCAAACTTAATAATATTGAGGACATCCTGATCATGGAACCCAGGGTAGGTTTCCCGCGAGGAATACCAAAATTTGTAGAACGCTATTGACCTGCTATTGGACTTTACATAGTTAAACCCTCCATTCGGTCTGTTCTGTAAATCATCCGAGTTGCCTAAGAAATTATCGCATGCAATCTGAAAATCTGCATCCTCATAAAACTGTGGAAATGGATCCCTGAACCACATAATATCCGCATCCTGGAGGAGGAAAGATCAACCACGAAGGCATTCAAGAAAAGAAAAAACAGATTTCAATCAATAAGAACCATATTAAAGCACGCCAAAACGTCTGCACTGAGTCTTACAAATGTATTTTGCAATTAATTCTTAAATCTGCCAAGGGACTGAACGACGAGATCAATATCGAATAAAAAAAGAATTTGGAAACCATTACTGATTTAGAGCAGAACCCTACCAAATGTATCCTCGACTAACATAATTTGAGTCTAAAAGTTTCTCATCAGGTTGTTTCAAATATAATTTTTAAACTGATACAAACTTCGTAATTCAAGCTTAACAGTTTCTAATCAGGTTGTGCCATAATAAGTTCCAAATTACGAAATTTCAAGTTCTAGTTGCAGAAGAGATTACCGTGAAAACGAAATTGTAGCCCATCTCAAGAACAGTACGCAGAAAATCGATCCTTGCCCACATCATCTTCAAGTAGTGAGGGGTCATAAAATAAGCCTCCTGACGAAAATCAAAGTCTTGAATGACAAGAGCAAAGCAATGGTTATGCACCTCCAAACAACGCTCAAATGCCTTTTGATCCAAGGCAATGATCACCAAATGGCTCAATAGCCTACGAGTTCCAACTCCAATCCTAAAGCTCTCCAGAAAGAGATCGAGGATCGAGCCGGGAGCTGCCCATGCTTCATTCAAAGTTGTTAAAATCACAGTGCCGTCTTCCATGGTAGCATTCTTTAAAACCTTTTCAAGCCTATGTTCCTCGCTAACCTACACAAAATTTCAAACTTTCTATGAATTTTATGCCATTAATCTAAATTTTCACACTTTTGTCAGTCACCGAGTAACAATTGTAAGGAAATTAACAATAACTGATCAAAACACAAATCACCCATTTTTAATAGCTCGAGAAAATAAAGAAATATGAGAAGAACAATGTCCCAATGCTCATTTTTCTGCACACCCATTTCCTTATGTCCCTCGATTCTCCTTTGATTTGGGTGTGGAGAGAAGAAAAGGGTGTGCAGAAATCATTTCTTTACGGGAAAAAAAAAAATTGAAGGTAGAAATGAATGAGAGCGAGAAGATTAAAGTAAGGGAACTCACGAGAGGGGAAAGGTAGGCGGAGAAGGAGGCGGAGGGAGAGGAAGAGAAGCGGTGGAGAAATCGGAGGGCATTGGAGTCGTTGTAGAGGAGCAGGCAGGAGAGACAGACCGCGACAAAGAAGAGAAACCGGCGGATGAGGACGACGGATTCAGGCATGTCGGAGGCGGAGGAGTCAATGGTCGATGTGCGGCGCGTCATCGCCGGTAGACGCCTCCGGTGCGGACGCATCAATGGAGGTGGCTCGGGATCGGGGCATTGTTTGGTGAGAAACTCCGAAATGTCAAAGTCTGTACGGGTCGGTGAGTGGAGTGTTGAAAGAGGGTCAATTCCAGCATATCTATAGATTGATAAGAACTAAGGTCGGTGTGACCGTTACTTCTTTTTTTTTTTTTTTTTTATTTTTTTTTTTATGGGAGTTAATCCAATAATATTTTAACGATAAGTGAGAAATAAATTAATACTGAATTTGGCGTTAACAAGATTTAAATTTAAAACTTCTTGTAAATAAACAAGAACTCTATTAAAGTGTATTATTAACTGGCAATCTAACAATTTTTTGTTTATTAACATGACTAATATGTAACCTAGGAGAATTGAATTGACGAGGGTTAATTGGATTGACAAGAGGTTAAATTAAAGAAGAATTTAATTGTGAGAGTTTGGTACAACTACTGTTAAAGCTAATATATTTATAGAATCTTGAACACAAATGATGCATATTTCATACTACTTTGTTAATTTTTTACCATGCATACAATTTCGTTAACTTTTACCATTGATTTCGTCAATTTACTTGACGAGACAGTCAAAACTTGAGAAGTAAAAATGAAAACATAGTCCTACAAAACTTTAGGTGTGAAACATAAGAAATGTTGCAAAACAAAAGTACGGAGATCCGTCCATCGTAACTTCCAAAAGTGTTTTGATTCTCTCTCTCAGGACAAAAAACTGAAAGCGAATTAACGGAAATAAAATTTAACCGTTGGAATTAACGGCGGTAAAATCAAAAGCCCTAATCGTCTCTCGAGCTTCTTCGTCCCCAAGGTTCTTCTCACTTGCTCTAAAAGTTCCTTCCTTTTCAGTTCAATTTTCTGAATTTATTCGTAATTATCGATCGGAATTGAAAATTGAAGTAGAATCAATAAAGAATTCGAAAGCGGATTAGGGATTTTGGTCTGAATTCGAGCGATCAAATGGCGGCTCAAGGGCCACCCCGACCCGGTAATCGTCCACCGCCCCCTAATTACAACCCTAACCCAAATCGTATAATTCCTCCCCCAAATTCCGATTCTTTGTCGGACAATTTGCACAATTTGAATCTCAATCGACCGCCTTCGATGCCCACCTCTGCCCCAAGACCTTCACCTCATTCCCAACCACCGCCGTCAGCACCGCCGGGCCCATTTTCTCGGACTGCGCAGTCCAGACCTTTACCGGGTCCCCCTCCAGTGGGACCCCCCTCCTCGTTTCCACCGTACGTGGGCCCGTCAAGGTCTTCCGGGCCTCCTGTAACTTTACCACTTGGCAACAGACCGCCTCCTCCCAATGCTTTCCCGCCGGCACCCCCACCAGGTGTTTTTCTCGGCGGGCCCCGTTTTCCTCCACCTGTTGGAGGGACTGGACCTTCGGCAACAATGGCGGCAGCTCGAGCACCACATCCTCCTCATCAGCCTCAGCCTCCGCCAACCATGCATTCTGTATTGGGCAGTTCAGTGGGCAGAGCGCCTCCAGGTCCGCCCGTGCAGCCGCCGCAACCAGTTTCTCAACCTCCACAAACGTGGTCCATGCATAATCAAGTAAGCTCAAAGCTTTAAACTTTTTTTCAGACGTTGTATGCAAGTATTTTTTTTTCTCCACTCAATAATCTGACTGAAATGTTTTCAACTCTTTTAGGCACCGCAGCTGCCGCCAACTTCAGCGTCTGTGCAACCACCAAGAATGTTTGGCATGCCACCACCGTTGCCAAACCAATCCATGACTGCCATATCACATGCTGTGGGGCAATCTGGAGCTCCGGTGGCAGGACCGTCAAAGATTGATCCGAACCAAATACCACGCCCTATTCCAAGTCCCTCAGTGGTTGTGTATGAAACTCGTCAGGGCAATCAAACAAACCCTCCTCCGGTATTCATTTAGTTAACTTTTCTGACCATATAATTGATCTTTAAGAATCATTTTGTTTTTTTTTTATATGTGCTCGCTGTGTTAGTGTTTAATGATCTTTCACCTAGTACTAAATGTTACTTTTTCTGAAGCCTTCTACTAGTGATTACATTGTCAGAGACACTGGGAACTGCAGTCCACGCAATATGAGGTGCACCATTAATCAGGTATCAATCTGAGTAGTTAACAATTACAAACAAGTAGTTGATTTTGATGATTGAGATTGTGATTCATTGGATTATGTGAGGAAAAATCAATTATTCTCAGCATTTTTTATGTACATATTTGCGTTTTATTTTAACAGGTTCCATGCACTGCTGACCTTTTGGCGACATCAGGAATGCAGTTGGCTTTGCTGCTCCAACCCTTGGCCCTTCCTCATCCATCTGAAGAGCCTATACAAGTAATGCATAAATATTCTTTAGACTGTTTTTTCAATAATGTGGTAACTTAACAGTTTATCATGCGTTGGTCAGTGAGTCATAATTGAGATCTGACGGATCACCGAAAATTTGGGATCACCCCTTCTCTTTGCTATTTGCGGATTTTGTCTTAATGTATTAATCTTCCATGTCAAAAGCTCCAAAATTTGTTGGTACACATATTAGATAATTGAAAGATGTATGTCTGCATCCTGGTCCTTCTTGATAAACTTTTCTTGTTATAGGTTGTGGATTTTGGTGAAAGTGGTCCTGTTCGTTGTTCTCGTTGCAAAGGCTACATAAACCCTTCCATGAAGTTCATTGATCAGGGCAGGAAGTTCATCTGTAGCTTGTGTGGTTAGTCCAACTTGTGATTGCATCAGATTTTTATGTATCTACTATCTTTCTTTTAAACTTTATGTGTATGCTTACTTTTATGAAAGATACTATCAGCCGTTTGTGTCATCTTCACTTCTCACATCTCCCAAAGTTTTACATTTAGGTTATTCCTTAATTTAGGATAGTTGTCCTTGTTTTCCATGTTGAATTTTTTTCATTGGTATTGATAACATGGTGATTTTACGACATGTACTTGTTTAATTTGCAGGATTTAGTGATGAGACGCCCCGTGACTACCACTGCAATCTTGGTCCAGATGGTAGGCGTAGAGATGCTGATGATAGGCCTGAGCTTTGTAAAGGAATGGTTGAATTTGTTGCTTCAAAAGAGTACATGGTTAGTTGGTTCATGAGGTTTCCTAGCTTTATGCGGATTCATGTTTGGTTAATGTTGTTTCTTTTCTGTTTCATTTAGATTCAAACTTAATTATCATGTTCCAGGTGCGTGATCCAATGCTGGCTGTGTATTTCTTCCTTATTGATGTATCTATGATTGCTATACAAACTGGAGCAACTGCAGCGGCATGCAGTGCAATCAATCAAGTTATTTCTGATCTTCCTGTAAGTTTTATGCCTATTTTCAGTATGCTAAAGCATGTAATTGCACCTGCTTATAGAAAATTTGACATATACTTGTCACCTTGGTTTTAGAGTATGTCAAGTTTTTTAAGTTCTTACAAGAACCTGCTTATTGGATTAAGGTTTTTAGCGACTGATTTAATTGATGATTCTACTATTTCAGGAAGGTCCTAGGACTATGGTGGGAATTGCAACATTTGACACTACAATTCATTTTTACAATTTGAAACGTTCATTACAGCAGGTATATTACGTTGTAACTCATTTGCTCTTCTGCAATGAATTTAAAAATTGCATTTGCTTCATTATCTTATCTTTTCCTATCCTGGTCTATGGCATGAAAGTATACCCGTTTCAATTGTGCTGTCTTTCAAAATAGGTGGTGTCTCTTTGTTGGGAGAAACTTTGTTTCAATATACGGCATTAAAAACATGTCCTAAGTATGGTTCTGAGAATATATGGTTTCCTGTTGTTACAAGGATTGTACTCCGTTTAAACCATGTTACGGTTGTGGTTAATACATTTTATCCTTTCCCTGTTTACTCAACAACACTAAACATTCATTTCGGTAGAAGATTGCTCACTGATTTTATATTTGACATGTCTTGCAGCCACTGATGCTCATTGTTCCTGATGTACAAGATGTTTATACTCCTCTGCAGACTGATGTAATTGTACAGATTTCTGAGGTTAGCTTCAGACTTCAGTTTTGTTTGTGTTCTCCAGTAAAGTTGTTGATATGTGTAGGGCAATCTCTTAGCAACCCCGGATAAGTCAAACCATTACTAGTTTGACAAATGTCCAAATGATTTTTTGTTAAGCCTTTGGTTCTTTCTGACATGTATCCAGTGCCGTCAACATTTAGAACTACTTTTGGAAAGCATCCCATCCATGTTTCAAGATAACAAAACCGCTGACTCAGCTTTTGGTGCCGCAGTCAAGGTATGGTATCCATATCTTCTTGCGTTTATTCTGGCTTTTCTGGGTGAGTGTTAAAGATGGTGTGGGAGAGTAAAAAAATTAAAAATTGGAGTTCTTGTTAAATTGGGTTTTCTGGCATTTAATACTGTTATGTTTTTAAAATCACCAGCTTAATGGACACTGTATAATCACATTGATTAATGTCTAAGGTTTTATAGCTTGCATTTTCTAACGTGTTGCCATTTTGTTTATATTTTTCAGGCTGCATTCTTGGCAATGAAAAGTAATGGAGGAAAACTTTTGGTATTTCAGTCAGGTAAGTTCAGTGACATGTGTAATTTTAGTTTTATGGACTTTCTTTTTACAACATTGTCATGCTTATTACAGCAATGCTATATTTATCTTGTTCATCTCTCTAAGGAGTGTTTTTAGAAGTTAAATCTGTTTGTAAAATGGACTTATGAGTATATTCTAAAATGATAGATGTTGTCTACAGTCTTGCCATCAATTGGAATTGGAGCCCTTTCAGCTAGAGAGGCTGAAGGAAGAACTAATAGCTCTGCGGGGGAGAAGGTATTGATATATGATATACTGATTTTCTCCAACTACATGTTCTTCCATCTCTTGTTCTACCTTGAAATCCTGCGATCTGCAAAACTATATTAGTTGAGTACTTCATTTGTTCTAACTTCTAACAGAAGATTATACTCTCTGTTTGTGAATCTCTCTCTTCGCCAGGAGGTACATAAATTGCTTCAACCAGCTGACAAGATTTTAGAAACAATGGCAACGGAACTTGCTGAGTATCAGGTAAAACGTTTAGTGTTCTGTTTGCATTTGTTAAGTAGTTTGATATAATTCTGAATTCTGCTGATGGTCATTGATTGGCATTTGTAGACATAGATGATGATGGGATTACTTATTCATGCTAATAATCTTTGTCTTTATATGTTACAGGTCTGCGTTGATATTTTTGTAACTACCCAGGCATACATAGACATAGCTTCTATGTCTGTCATCCCAAGAATCACTGGTGGCCAGGTACTGGAAAATGTCTATTCTTGCAATATATTATAGAAAATATGGGTTATAGTTTATTTTCCTGCCATTTTTTCCTTTGTTCAGCCATTTGGGATTTTATTAACGGCACTATTCATGATATCTGTCATTGCAGACTTGACTTACCTCACATTTCCACTTTGTTCAAGGTCTATTATTATTACCCTTTCTCTGCGGTTGCTGATGCTGCAAAGATCTACAATGACCTTAGATGGAATGTCACACGGCCTCAAGGTTTTGAGGCAGTGATGCGTGTGAGATGCAGCCAGGTAACCGATTTGGAGTACTGACGTTCATTTTCTCGTCTTTTCCTTTTGTGTGATAGCAAATGGTTACTTATAATTTTCTCTGTTCTGCAAGTGATTGTTTTTCCTAATCTATTGTAGGGTCTCCAAGTTCAAGAGTACCATGGGAACTTCTGCAAGCGCGTTCCTACTGATGTTGACCTACCCAGTGTAAGTTATACAACACAAACACACATATCATGTACATTCATACATCTATGTTTGCATGTTCTACTTTTGATGGTCTTTGAGTCTTTTTTCTCCACCATGGACTGCGTATAAATGCTGATCGTATTGTTAGCTTGAATACCAATTTTTATGAAACCTTAACTAATCTTTTATTGTGCAGATTGACTGTGACAAAACTATAATGGTAACCATAAAATACGATGATAAGTTGCAGGATGGGTCAGAATGTGTGTTTCAGGTACTAACTAGTTTTACTTTCAAAGTTTCTTGGAATATCTGGTCCAATATCTCCCCATTTTGATGCTGTGGAGCTTCCCATAATTCCTGTTAATGTTGAAGAAAATGACTCTTATTTTCCTTCTAATTACTTTGTCTTTTCCATTGTCCAGTGTGCGCTTCTATACACCACTGTGTACGGTCAAAGAAGAATTCGAGTTACAACTTTAGCTCTGCCATGTACAAGTATGCTGAATAATCTTTTCCGTACAGCTGACTTGGATACCCAGTTTGCTTGTATATTGAAACAAGGTATTTGGTTATACCTTTTTTCACAATCTTGTTTTTTACAACCTTTGTACCATCTCATTCACTTTCTTTGTGCACTCACTCTCTAGTACCAGAAGTCCTTTTTTTCATCCCTTGCATGGCACTTTACTGACTATAGTTATATTTGATATGGGGAAATGATACTTACAATATACTGCCGAATTTTCTTTCTGCAGCTGCAATTGAAATTCCTTCTCGCCCACTCATGCAAGTCCGTGAAAGACTGACTGACCATTGCATCAACATTCTGTGTTCTTATAGGAAATTTTGTGCTACAGTTTCATCATCTGGACAACTTGTTCTTCCGGAAACACTTAAGCTCCTACCGTTATACATCCTCGGTATCTTCTTTTATGCTTTTAAGTTATAAAACTTATACTAGTTGTATTTGTGAAGCTAAATGTGCTTTCTCCCTCCAAATAAAATAAAATCAGAATTTTGTTATGTCCCAATGCATGGACTATGCTATTCATGACTCTTCCGATAAGCATATTAGCAGTCATTGAAGTATAGCTTCCTGACATTCGTACATATTTTAATAATTCTGTTTAAATTTTTTTTTTTTCTTTTTCAGCGCTAACTAAAAGCACGGGATTGCGAGCTGCGGGGAAATTAGATGAACGATCTTACTGGATCAATTATGTGTCCTCTGTTTCTACTCCTTTAGCAATAGCACTTGTGTATCCTCCGATGGTGGCAATCCATGATTTTATTTCCCAGGTCTGAAAGGTTTACCATTACTTAAAGTTTGATTTTTCCTTTGTTCTGCTCTCTCTCTCAGAGACACAAACCAATGCTAGAAATGTGCTTGCTTTCAAGTTATCGATCCTAAAACCAATGGTAACTTTCTGTTAATTGACAGACGGATGGATCAATTGTTCCTCCTGCAATTCCACTTTCTAGTGAGCATATCAACGATGAGGGAATTTATCTTCTTGAGAATGGAGAGGATTGTCCAATATATATTGGCAGCTCGGTAGATCCAGATATCTTGAACAAGTTGTTCGGAATTTCTTCAGTTGATGAAATTCCTGCTCAGGTACGTGTTAAGCCAAATCATTCTTATACACAATGTCTGTCCCATATGATGCCTTACTACTGACTGACTTGCATATTGGCAAAGTTAATTCTCAGTATATTTCCCAATATAAATATCATCCGATCGCTAATATTCTCGCATACACAGTTTGTGCTGCAGCAGTATGATAATCCATTTTCAGCTAAGCTAAATGACGTGGTAAATGAGATTCGACGCCAAAGATGTTCCTACCTCCGGTGTGCTTTTGTTTTTCTTTTACTTTCTCAATTATACAACGTGTTGATTCGATGCAAGTCTAATCAATTCCTCGATTATTTTCTTGCAGCTTGAAATTATGCAAGAAAGGAGATCCATCAGGTCAGTGCGTTGTTGTGCTGTGTAATAAATGTGTGACATAAAAGTTACGGGTTTATGTATTAACTCTTGTATTCTACTTTCACAGGGATGCTCTTCTTCTCATATATCGTCGAAGATAAAAATTTGAATGGCCTCTCCTATATCGAGTTTCTAATACATATCCATCGGCAGATTCAAATGAAAATGTGATTAGCTTCTTCGGTCTGATACCGGTCGTGATACCTTCGTTCTGGGCAGCCGTGGAGGGATAGAAAACAAGAAAGGACACCTTCCTTCACTGCACAGTTTGGTCATAACGAAGGACTTATGGAGGGGAGGGGGTCGGTGCCAGTATTTGTGTTGGTGCCAGTGTTTGTGTTAGTTTATTTAGTCAATGGTAAATATTGAAAAGAAGTAAATTATAGAGCCCCACAAAAGTGGTAAATGGTGAATTAATAAATACAAGAGCTCTCAAGTTTTGTGAAAACATATATTGTGTGGAGAAAAAATGTCATAGGCTATTTAACAGAAATTCTTGGGTGGCCGGAGGACCAGTTACTGGATGTTTTAACCATTAGATTTTGGTTTTTAATTTTAAAGAATATCTAACAGTTAAAATATCAGTAATATTGAGTACCCAAGAAAGTCCTGCTATAGACCTAAAGTTGTCTTATGGAGAAATTGTAGCAATGGTTCCTTAACTTTAACCCAATTGAATTAATAGTTCATCAACTAATAATTTGTGACCATTTGTCTTTTTAACTCATTAAAATGTGTAACTATGATTTTTTTTGCTAAACTTTGTTAGAACTTTTTCAAAATGAGTCATGTAGCATGCACATGAGGTTGAATCTGGGGTCAAATAAAGAAAACCAAATAAGAAAATTGTGGCAATAGTCCCTCAACTTTAACCTAATTGTAGCAATGGTCTTTCCAACATAACTCATTTTGACGGAAGTTCTAACGTAGCTAATGAAAATGATCATAGCTGCACTTTTTGATGAGTTAAGAAACTAATGATCACTAATTTTTAGTTAAAAGAACATTACTTTAATTGAATTAAAGTTGAAGAACCATTGCTATAATAGTTGAGTGACTATTACTCGGTTTCTATAACTTTTTATATTTTTATCCACGTCTTAAGTTGGCCAGGACATGAATTTAAAATCGTGATTTATGGTACTGCATAAAAATTGTCACGAAAAATTATTTTATGATAATTTTTTTTTTTTAAGTTTGTGAATATAATTTAAAATCGTGATTTATAGTTCATAGCATTTGCAAAATTTCTATTATCGGGTTTTCTAAGATATCATACGTGCTCGTAAAAGGAAATGTTATTAAAATGAGAGCATAAAATACTTGAGGGGCTTAGGAGTAGGGAAAAAAAATGAAAATTAATGAAAATGATTTAAAATTTTTGAGTTTTAACAATAAAAACAAAATAAATAGTAAAGTAAATAGTAATATGGTTGACTTTTTAATGTAAAAATATGATTTTTTGTTAAAATGAACCTAGAATTTTTCGTTAAAATTACCAAAAAAGAAAAAAAAAATATTTTGAATTTCAATTTAGGTCACACATAGTCACATACAACATAAGAAATTTAAAAGTACAAACTTGGAAATTCAATCGAACTACAAAAGTGTGTCCAGTCTCTGAAGGCTCGAAAGAATGGCAATACCGGTGGCGGTGGCGGCGGCGGCGGCGGAAGTAGAAAGAGAGAAGATGGAGTCGAGTAAGAAAGAGGAGATGGCGCCATGGGAGCAACACTCGACTGTAATCAGCATACCTCGCTTCGACTACAACGCCCCTTCTTCTCTTCTCCAACGCTCCCACTCCGGCTTCCTCATTACCTGCCCCATCAGTCTGTCACTCTCCTCTTCTTCCTCCTTCAAATTTATGAAAAACCCAAATTTAATAAAGAACCAACGATTCTGATAGAAAGTTTGTTTCTTTGTGTTTCTGCTGTGATCAATTTTGATCAGAGAGGGAGAAAAGCGCCACAAAAGAAGCAATTTCCCTCCTTGCAAAGGTAAAATCCCTTCCTTTATGCCTTTGAAATTACCAACTTGTTTACTGCAAATGTGATTGATTTATTATTTGTTTATGGTTGTGAAATTTTGAATTGTGATTACAATTTTGGGGTTTTTGTGTGTTTATGTTTTCAGTATGTTCAGTGCTTTAATAGTTGCAGCTCAGAAGACAATACCAGTTCGAAAAGAAGGAAGCTTTCGAAGGAGGATATTGATGGCGAGTGCTGCAATGGCAGTGGGGAAACCAAGGATACTGCTACTGCTAACTCTGAGGAGGCTCATGGTATCACTTGTATATGTTGTGCTATTAGTATTAGGTTCTGACTTTCTGTATTTGTTGTGATATGACTTGTTTGTTATCGTAATGTTGTTGGCAGATGATCTTCAGGAGCGTACTCCTCGTTTGTCTCCTGCAAAGGTGGATGCGGAAGGAGATGCAAATCCCCTTCTTTCGCTGGTTAAGTTGACAAAGAGTGGTCTGCTTCTCTTTACTTTTTGCAGAAACACTTCTCCTGACGTTGTAGATACTGTATCGAAAATTATTCAGGCTGTGGAATCCAAGAGTGTTGGTTCACCCCTGTGAGTAGATAATTTACTTTCTTCTCACAGATTTTCTGTTTCAATGCTTTTATAATTTATGCTAAAGCATTCTTTGTTTTGAGGATGTGTATGATAACTCTCTGAATACTTTCTGAATGAGGGCTTCTAGTTGTTCCCTTAGCCCACTTTGAGGTTGTGCCGCAGCTCTTCAATGTTTTTGCACTCAGTATTCATTTGCATTTCCGTATGAAGGGTCCAGTAATATATATGATCCTTTTCCCTCATTATGAACACTGATTGGGAGTTCTTTGGTGCAGTTGGTGTAATCGCATTTTCCCTATCCAAGCTACTTGTAGTTTGAAAGAGAAGGAACTGCATGAAGTTGTATCAAGGCTTGTTCTTCAATTCGTGAACGATAATCAGAAGCTTGTGCGGCCCATAAAGGTAGAAGTCAAATCCGTTATCACTTCATAACAAAAGTTTCATCTTTACTTTTTTCAGCAACCATTGAAAGGGATTAATTATTTTATAGGAGTTATAATATTTTGATGTGCAAATGAAATTTCTACATGATTTTGTAGTTTGCAATTGCATATAATAGAAGAGGGATAGAGACAGAACTGAATATTCCCAAAGAATCTTCAAATGCAACTGATATGCTGGACCGTGACAAATGCTTTGCCGCAGTGGCTACTGCTGTCAAGGGTGTTGTATCAGATTCAGTGGTGGACCTCAAATCTCCGGAAGTGAGAATTCCCTCTGCATTTTCTCAAATTGGCATGTTATTCTTATGCTCGTTCTAACTATTCGACCAAAATTTTCAGCTCTGCGTTCTTCTTGAGCTACTTCCCCTTTCTGGTGTACCCAAAGAGTCGTTAGTGGTTGCTGTATCAGTTCTTCCTCGACACATTGTTAATGCAAAGCCGAAACTAAGCATCAAGGCACTGGTTTCCGATACAAAATTGAAGGGGAAAAGCAATAAGAAGGATTAAACAGTTTCATGAGATCCAACAATACCCTGCGGACGGAGTTGTAAAGTTTTCTGATAGTGATGATGAAAATGAGAGGTCTGTAGCTGGTGTTAGATATGTTACAAAATTCGATCCAACTGATTCAGCTGTTTGTTGTACCCTAACAGTCACCTCAGTTTTGTGTTTCGCTTTTCTGTGGCAGAGGTCTTTCTTTTCTTCATTCGTCATGTATTCGTTCTTGTTTTTGAGTTTTAAAGGATCCGTCTTAATTCATATTTTGCAGACGTTGGTATTTATTCATATTGGCTATTCGGTAGAGCTGATAGTGCTTTATTTATGCACTCGAGTTTGAATTTTAAAGTAGAATAACAAAAGCATTAATGTTTGAACGACCCGACCCGGCCCATAAAGCTAGAAGTTAACTCGCAAATACCACCCGTATTCGTTCTTGGTATTTAGTCACATTGGCTATTCACTAGAGCTGATAGTGTTTTATTTATGCACTCGCGTTTGAATGAATAACAAACGCATTAATGTTTGAACGACCCGAGCCAGCACATAAAGCTACAAGTCAACTCACAAATACCACCCGCGTACCAATGGGTCCGACAGACCTCGAAACAGACCTTGCTAATGACCTAATTGTCCCGTTATCGGTAAAAGTCTAAAAGACATGTATTTTGATTTACGAGTTCTTAGGCACCCTTTAGTTACAAACCAGATATTTGGGCAAGTTCTGCTCACGCGCTTTATGACTGGAATGGTCTCCCCATGCAAGTGAGCTTAAGCTCCATGAAAGAGACGATCTAGAGGCAAGGCCGGTGTCGATAGAGTAGGCCGACAAGGTAATTTTCTTCGCTCATATATAATTCAACATTTTCCGTCGAAAAACAAATTTTACACTGTTTTTCTCTTAATGCACTAACATTTGAATCGAACAAAACCAAGCGACAAATAAAAAGAAGACGAAAACATCGGGTACAAATTCATTTCTGTTTTCTTTGATTCAACTTAGACGAATTGAATTATTGAATGACAGGAGAGATTGAAAACAGATGAAGGTTCCAAATGCAGCTTATTTGTTCTAATTGTACAAATGTTTCTGGCCTGTTGTCTGCTGTCAAAGATACACTCTTTGTTCTACTCCTCCCTTCAGACGGGTCGTATTTGAAAATTCAGAGCTCATAACAAAGATATATATGCTTTGCGGTTCTAAAACCAAGAGTGGAACTCAAATGACAAATAAACCTCCCGAAGACCTAACCGATAACTTAACTACAACAACAGTAAAAGAACTAACAAGATGTGGGGTGAGTGAGGGTAGAAATCTACTAGCCTAAAACAGATGATTTTTCTTTTTACAGCAGCATCAGGTACCGCAGAGAGCAATCGAAAGATTCAGATTAAGATTCCGATTACGATTCCCGGAAGAAGAGGCAGAGCAGTCTTTGTAGTTAGGCCTAGAGTATGACGACGAGATTGCACCACTGAAGTCACTTGAAGAAGCATTACTCTTGTGGGAGGAGGGCTGGTGTAATGAGAGTGACAGTGATAGTTCACATTGGCTAGCTTCATGATGGTCTTCGACATGTGCTCCTCCTGCCTCTGGTAAGGTAGCAACCTGGAGGGAGGACAATTAATTAAACACCGTGTCAGTAGGGCACGTTTAATTTTCAAAGAAATACAACAATGCTCCATGAATATGAAATATATGATTCAATAAGACGAAGTCTAAAGCGGAAGGAATTACATACATCTCTCAAGACGCTAGCTAATTTTACAATGTTGTGTATTGTGTGTTTTTAACACTCATTTAACGTTGTATTATTAGTCCGAGATGACATTATGACATCCCGATAAGGTGCACTTAAGTCTCTGTAGGGGTAGGGGTAGAAGGACGTTTTAATAATTTGAATTTGCTGATGACGAGAGAGGGAGGGGGGGGGGGGGGGGGTCCCGTATTTATAAGAATCAGAATTGGACCACAGAATGTAAGAGTTTTTGCAGGCAAAACCGTAGACTTGAACAACAAATTTTTAGAATGTAGTTCCTGTAGACAACAAAGCATGAAGAATAGGTGGACCTTGAAATTAAATAGGGCAGTATGGAATCATTTATTTGCAAAGCCAAACCACTGTTTGTTTTCCAAATGCTGCACCCCAACCACTTTTTCCAGAGAACTCATTAAACGAGGTAGAAAAAATGAAGTGGACACAAAAAACTAGAGATTTTATTGAAGAATTCTGATGCGTTATGTAAATTAGTTAGGTTTAAGAAAGGAAAATTATTTCCACACTCGTTTTCTCCTTCTGCATGCTTTTACTTTTTTTTTTCACATTGAATAGAGGCTAGAAATAAACCAAGGTGTGCACGGAAGGAAACAAAGAAGATTTTCCATAAAATATAGAAGGGGACTAGTCTACTTAACACTTTCGAAGAGTTGAGAACGGTTTAGGCAAAGAGGTGACGCAACTACTTAAAAAATGTCAAAAACATGCACATTATTCCATCCATGCCGGCATGCCGGGCATGTTTCGAATGGAATAGGATTCTCTCCCCTTCAAATTTTCTCCTCACCTGTGTCTTTCCACTTTGTCTTCACCTTTATAAAGAAGTTAACACAAATGTTGATGCAATTTAATCGTGACCGTTCAAATAAGAGGAGAGAAAAAGAAGAATATCCTATTACGTTTCGATTTTCTGGGTGAAATCAGAAAAAGCAAATACCAACATTGCACTCAAAGTTCTTCAATTAAAATAAAATACTTAAATGCAGTTGATAGAGAGAGAGAGAGAGAGAGAGAGAAGAGAGAGAGAGAGAGAGGGAGGGAGGGAGAGAACCTTCAAGAAATCAGATTCTTGCAAAGCAATTTTGAAGGCTGATGGGTGAGGGTCCTCCTTTATTCCCAATGCCAGAACGTAATCATCAAAAGAGTACGGATTTGACACTGTCTCATATATTCCTCCTTTGCCGCATTGCTGCTGCTGCAAACCCTCCGAGATGTTTGAACCCATCGTCTCGGTTCTAGCTCTGATAAGTCATAGAAAAGAAACAAACAAAAAGAACATGTATCAAGGAACAAGAAAGCAACTTTCAGGAAAAAAAATAAAGAAGCAAAGACATCATGCAAATGCCTTTTTGTTTGTTTCCGATCACACCATCTTTATTTCCGGATTTTCTAGTATGTTCCGCGGGATTCTATACATCAGGATTTTTCGCCTCTTGCTCAAGATTTTTCGCCTTTAGTGACTTAAAAGATTTAACGGCTGAAAAATCCTAATATATAAAATAACAAAGCACTGTAGAACTTTTGCTTTATTATACTCTTGACATTTGAATAGGTCTTTACACCCCAAAAGAAACCAAAGAACTAAAATAGTGGATATATAGCTGTGCCTGCAGAATACAAATTCGTAGCTGGTGGTGCAAGTGCAGGTGTAGCCTAACCTTTTTGAACGGCGGGGATTGCAGATGACCTGGGAATCCGATTCTCTAGTGGGTTTGGAAGATGGGTAAAAGCTCAAACCATTTACTTCTTCAACACACCCATCATCCTCAGCCTCTTCAAACGAATGTAGTTTTCTTGTTTGCACCCTATCTGCCATTTTATAAAATAAATTATAAAAAAAAATATTAGAAATAAAACCTAAAGAGAGTAATAAATAGGTTCTTTTGGACAAAGTTTCCAGTTTATGCAAAGTGTGCCAATACTAGAAGATCGGAAAGAAGAAATGATCACGTTTTCGTATGAACTATTTGGGGCATCCACTAAAAGTCGACTACGAACAATAAATATGTATTGTTAAAGGGAGGAATATATAATAAATGAGGTGATGCTGCAGTTGCAGTTGAGTCCTCATATTTCATATATTTATGCCATCAACGGAGTTTATAACTCTGCAACTCTAGCTCTGGACACAACCCATTACTGGCAAACAAATGGACAGTCAAGAAACACACATGAAAATGTTACAAGATGGAAACTTTTACAAGAAATCGGCCGAAGTAAATGAATGGGTATGTGGAAAGATGAAAACTTCGGCAAAAAGTCGGCCGAAATAAATTAAGGGTATGAGAAAAGATTGAAAACTTTACAATAAATCGATGGATATTTACCTTGTCTTATAATCGGATCGCCTCTCATGCTTCTATACATCTGATGATTAAAAGAAGAAGGGAACAAATTAAAAAATAAAAAGGAAAAAAAAGCATGAAAGCAGATGAAATGTTAACCTATTAAGACAAACAAAAGCACTAAAAAAAGCAAAATACCTGGAGATGGCTTTTGACATGAGAAATGGTGAGCCCTTTGACATCCATCAACTGAAGAACAAGTTTTGGAGTAGCCTCTGCGAGAAAATAAAGAAAAAATTATATAAAAAATATTAAAAAAATTAGAAAACAAGCAAAAATAGAAGGTGGGGTTTTGTAATTACTTACTTTTATGGCCTCCAAGCCTTTCAATGGCCTGAAGAAAGCAGCGATGAAGCTCTGGAGTCCATCTCAAACGAGGCACCTTTGATCTCACATACTGCCTAACGGCGCCGTTTCTTGCACTGCAACTACTTGTAGTCATTTTTTTTCCCAGCAACCTGGATCTTCCCCTGATCCCTTAATAAACTTGCTTACAGCCTTCACACCCTCAAGACCAGAACGAAACGGCGTCGTCCTAGAATTATTTTCTTCTCTTATAAAGTTTCAAACCCGTTGAAAATGTGTGTTGGTCACAGCAGACACTAAGAGGGCATTTAAAAAAGGACGACTTAAAAGCCTATCTCAGAGAGGAGAGAGAAACGAGAGAGAGAGAGATCACGAGAAAAGGATAAGACGAGCTGAGAAGCTCTGTAAATTCCTTAAAGAGTCTGATAATACCTATTTGCTATTGCTGCAATTGCTAGTATTTCCCTAGCCTGCCTGCCCTGCCTCACCTGCTAATCGTACTATTACTATTCTATATTTACCCCTCTCTCTCTCTCTCTCTCCTCCTGCTGCTTCTGCTGCCTGCGCCTTCTGTTTATTTCTTGTACACCTTCCTTGCACCTACTGCCAACCCAAATATTAATAATAAAATTTGAAAAGGAAAATATTATTAATATTTTAAAAATCTTATTTTACGTTTCGTATAAATGTATTTTTTTCTAAATCTAAAAAGTTTAAAATGTATAATGAAAATTTTAAAATGTAAATAACAATTTTCTTTGAAAATCGAAAATATAAAAAACCCTCTCTCTAATAACGTATCACACTCGCTCACGAGCTCCTGAAATTCTCATGGATCTTTTATTTTTTATTTTTTTTACCCTTCTTCTTCTGTCCAACTCATTGCCTCTGTGCCAATAGGGAGGATGCTACAACTGCTTCGCTTTGACCTTTTTCCTTCTCTCTCATGATTTCCAATTCCTGTTTATGATCATATACGCCAACGTCGTCATGATATCAAAAACTCATGAAATTATTATTATTTCCATTTTATTCGACCAATAACAAAAAGAAGAATATAAATCATTATTTATTTGTCTTTCTCTCTAATATTTCTGTCTTTTTATATTCCCCTCGACACACTCGACAGTCTCCTTTATTTTCCGAAGTCAAATATACATAAATCATATCACGTGTACGTGGTAGAAAAACTGAAAAGTACTCAGATATGGAAAGACGTTTTTGCCCTTATTGTATGCAAATGCGATGGGATTGGTACCGGTGTTGGGGATGAGTTGTTATGTTGTATGTTGTCCTTGGCGAGGGCAGGAAGGGCACAGGGGTGGTCCTTGCGAAAAACTTCTCCTCGGGATGGCCATGCTCCCCTAACCCTAATTCAATTACAAATTTTGCATGCCTGTGAAAGGATTTGGTGTAGCCATTCATCGTATATCGTACGATCAATTATCGTTAAATACTATTTATATTTAATTTTAATTTTTAAATTTTAAATTATTTCTGACTGCACGATGTATAATAAACGGTTACAATCACGAAATCTTCGGAATCTCCAGAAAAAGGATTTGATGAGCATCATTTTCCGATAAAGTCCACTTTCCCCAACCCAATAAAACCAAATCTCACATTTGTTAAGCAAATTAAAAAATCTAAAGTCAAAATTGGTGTATTTCTTTTCCCAAATTATCTTACAATCTATTTTGGATTACACACTTATCATGGTCTGAATAAAAATAAATTTTTATACGATCGTCTGATTAGAGAAGTTTTGACCTCATATAGAATAACATAAAATTGACTGAGAAATGTGCTTTATATATGACGTTGTTGTACGACTTTATCTAATTTTTTCCTTCTGAGTAGCCTAACCCTTGGCACAACATTTATTGGACGTCCTCCTTCCTTTTGTTTTTCTTTTCAGTACCATGGTCTTCGAAGAGGAATATGGTTTATGATATGGGCTAGTTGAATCACATGATTGAATGGAAGTAGATGAAAATGCTAGGTCCCCTCTTTTAAATGGGTTGGCATCATTTTACGACACGGCACAAAATTATGTCCTCTTAAAAAATGGATAATATTAGGAAGATTAAATTTTTTTAAATCAAATGATGTGGTTATCAATTATTGAATTATTACATAAATGTTAATAAACGTGTTTATTACTAAGTGACATATCATTTAGTTTGCAAATTTAATTTAATACTTTGATCTACCTAGCATTACGCTAAAAAAACTAAAATACTCAGCATGGCAATTGGAATGGGATGATGCAATATATTAATAATTTAAAATGCACCAAAGAAAAACAAACGATTAGACGAACCGAGTTTGGTTCATGGTTGGAGGGTTAAATTCCATTTAAGTTAATAGTGGTTAAATCGATGGAGAATTATTAAAACAACGCATTTTTAGGGTTTATGGTTGGTTACTTGAAGGGTATAGGACAAAGTGCCCTAACCCTAACCACTTTTCAATGTGTCTTCAGCTATGAAGCAGCCGGTGCGGTAACGGGAGCGCGGGGATTCGGCTGGATAATTCGCCGGAATTCGGCATGGTTCTGGCGCGAAACGCAGCCGTTTGAAACCTTGGGGGCAGAGAGAAACCTTAGAGGGAGGAGAGCAATATGTAATACTATCTACAGAGGCAGCCATATTCCTTTTGAAACCTCCGTGCTTCATAGGTCTGCAACTACAGAGGTACACGGTAACAGAGTTACAGAGAGATAAGATATGTAGAATGGTACGATACATACCCTTCTTTTTACCACTAATTCACTCTTCTTAATTTTTGGCTATTTAAATAAATTAAAAAAAAATTAAATGATCAATAAAAATTAACAAAAACATGGGTAATGTAAAAATAAGTATGCAGATAACAACCCGCTCTATATAACCTCTACCTCTATGTGTGTGTTTGATTTAGGTTTTTCTTGCTAAGCTCGGTCATTAATCCAATTCCCACTGAATCCCATAATTCTGATTTCTAAATTCCATTTGCTTCTCAATCTCTTTAGGTTTGTCTGCACGTTGAGGGACCCTTCATAGTTCATACCCATCTATTATATAGAGAGAGAGAGAGAGAGATATATATATATATATATATATGTATATGTATGTATTTATGTATATATTGGAATAGTCAAAGCCCAACGCCCTTTTCTATTGAGTTTTTTGTTGTACTATTGCAGCTACTGTCTACTGACGAGGACGCTGTGTCGAAATCTAAATACTTTGAAGTCAACCAGATCATGCCAGGAAGGCAAAAGAAGAATGTAAATACACGTACCCTAACCCTAGTGAAATCTGCACCGTCCACCTTACTACTGTAACGTTAGAAATACGGATGTCGATGAAGAATCAAGGGTTGTGATTGCGAGAAAGGACAACACATCGAGTGTGGATGATGAGTTAATATTCGTATATGGAATTCAACTGAATCAAATCAAATCAAATCAAATCTCGCGCATGGGAGATGGAAAGAGAAGGAGGTGGGTTTCCTAAGGTCAAGCCTCAGTCATACCACAGTGATATTCTCCTCCTAATTTCTAGGTGTGCAGCCATAGCTATTTAAGGCCTAATTTTATGATAATTATGATATTAATATATGTGTTTACTTTATTACAAATTTTATAGAGATGAGTTCGGTTTTATTTGGTTTGATACTTTGTTAAAATCGAAAAATCACATTGAAATTATTATTTGGATCGGTTAGATTTTTGGTTTTTTTATTTATTTTGAATTTTGTTCGATTTTGTTTTTTAAAACAAAATTCTTAGTCTGTTTAAACTAAAAATGAAGAAATGAATAAGACTTTCAACATAGCCTAAAGTTGAGTTTATCTAACTTTAGATTGACATTAGACTAATAGATGACTTAGAATTGAGTTTGAAAAATGAATACTGAACATAAATAATTGATCAAATATTATTTTATATCTCATTCAGTTCGGTTTGGTTTGGTTTTTGAATCATCAAAATTGAAACCAGACCAATAGTTTTTAGTTTAGTTCGATTTTTTTAGTTTCTGTTTGATTTTCATTCGGTTCAGTTTTAGTTCGGTATTTTGGTCCTATTTTTTGTTCGATTTTCGAGTTTTCTAGCCCATCCAAAAATTTAAAGGTATTAATCCTAATTTTTGGCAAGTATATGATATTAATCATATTTTAATCAAAAATTTAGATTTTTCATAGCTTGAATCCTAGTTGTCAAAGCTTCCACATTTATGGCGTGTTAACATAACCGTAATGGAAGTAGGAGGAATTGAATTAAGGAGGAGTTAGACTGAGAAGAAGTCAGAATCGAATTGATGTTGAAGCTGTTTACTTAAATATTCTGGAATCGGAACATAAATGACATTAATTCCATAAAGATGTTTACTAATTCAGCAAAATCGGAATATAAACCAATATGATTACTAAAATACCCTTGTCCCAAATCAAATATTTTATATACTTTTTTTAATAAAATTTGATGTAATATATAATAGTAAGAAAAAAATTAAATTACTTTTTTATTTCATAGACACACTAAAATACTTTTGTTTATTTCTTTTATAAATTTAAGTATTGTATTTAATATTTAAATTTTCTCTCTCAAGTTATAATTTCTTCTCTTTGGCATATGCATGGAGTTGTGCATAATGTGAATGTGCATGAAGTTGTGCATATTGTGAATGAGAAATAAAAAAAAGTAAGGAGTTGTGCATAATTAAACTAGAGTTAATGGGTTTATAAATGATAATCTTGGAAATAAAAAAGGTAAGTCAATGCATAAAGGGAACAAAAGTGTCATTCTGATTACCTAAGCAATCAGAAATTAGATTATCACATATTTCCAAGGAATTCAATTCCACCAATATAAAGAATTGAATTGCAAAATTTGTGTGAGCTTCACTGCATTTTTGATTCCTCAATGTTTAGTAAACATTAAAGTATTTTATAATCAGAATTCAATTTTATATTTTCATTTCAATTACAGATTCGTAAACACACCTTTAAAGTCCATATTAATTAGTACGTTTGGATATATAACAAGATATATCCGTATTAACGGATTGCTTCAATTTTGTGTAATTAGCAAAGGTGTCTCGCGTTCCTGTCTTGACTGTAAACGACAGTTCTGTACCCTCTTTAATATAATGACATGCCCTCAATATTTTATAAACATATGCGCCCTCGTACGTACACGAGACCTATGCCTAGTTGCCTACCTCGTCATCATTTAACTATAAATTTAACGAATGAATTAACAAATGTAGGATGTTATATAAAGAAATTATAACTCGGTGTTCAACATTTCAATATTTTAAAAGATAAAATATAAAATTGAAATTGCTCCCAAACTTGAGAATATAAAACTTGCTCAAAAATATTTAATGAGCTAAGAATCCCTAACTAGCCTGCCTGCCTGGGGATGAGAGAATCAAATGTATGAGGTTTCCAACCAAAGGACCAAACTCTCCACGTACACGTACACGAACGTCTATAAGCCCTTCGTTCTTAGTTCATCGACCTTTCTTTGTCTCAACTCTTAACGTGCATTATG